TAATTGCTCCTTGGTGGAGACGACCGCGGAATGCTCTGGGTGGATTAACCCCCTCCCTCTAGAGCTACCCGCAATCGCTCCATACGTCGGACCCTGCCCACCACTTCTTGGCTTTTTCGGTGCCTGTTCGGGAGTGCTACCTTCCGAACGGGGCCGCTTGCTGCAGCCAGCAATGGGGACGACATCACGCCCTCCCTGTTCCTGACTGCTGCAGCTAGCTGCGTTGGAGGATGGAGGTTTTCCCCATTGTCCTTCGCTGATTCCCCAGGATTTTCGTAAGCGCCGCCTCGTCGGGCATGCCGCTTTTGAGAAGCGCTTTCAGGCGTCTTCTCTTTGCACCCGGGAATCTTTTCCAAGGCTTTTTCGCCTTAGAGTCTGCCACCTCTGGCTTCGGAGAGGGGTTCAGTAGTTCCCTCTCCTGCTCAGAGGTGACAGACAGTGGAGTGGCTTCCCTCTTATTAACAGGGGTCAGCTCGCACTGAGGAGACTTTGTCAGAGTATCATCCTCTGACGCCCCAGAGAGCGATTCTTCTCCCTGCTGTGATGGAGATGACCGCCAAAGATCGCCAATCTGCAATGGTTGTTCATCCAGCGGAGGAACGAGGTTTTGACCCTCCTTGTTAGGGTTGCGGCTTTGTCGTTGGTCCGTGTCATTCCCTCGAGTATTGGGGATATAAACCGTCACTGTTCGCAGAGCCCCATACGTACAGAAGGCCAAACTTACTCCGGAATTCGGCCCGGTGTTCCGGAGGGTCCGTTCACGATGCCGATTGCCCCCGGCACCATTCATCCCTCAGCGCGGAGCCTCAGACCTTGGATTCGGGGTTTCAGCAGAGCCCGATTAGCCGTCCCTCTGCTCCCCAAGGGAGATTTACTGCCCTGGAGCAGACGGTCGTGTACAGGAAATACGTCCCCGCACACGAGCTCGAGGACGTTTGGGTTGGACTTTGTGGAGCTACCCTGAACGGTACAGCATTGTATTGGAAGAGCTGTCCCTTGAATATGAATCTGAAATATATCTTACGACTCTCCCTAACGGGTACCAAAATCTCTGTATATTCCAAATCCAGATTTGTCAAGAGAATATCTCTACGGAGAAGTCTGATCCCAGTTCAGTAGCCTAGACTTGAGTGTTCTATCCCTATAAACAGACAAAGTGTCTTGAGGTAAGGAATCAAACGTGTTGACCCATCAGACTTGGGGACAAGAAAAAGTTAGATAGGTGCTGATTTTTAGTTAGTTCCACTTTTTACTGATAACAATTGAGATACGGTCAAAGGTCGGTAAATCATAGATGGACTAATGAGACTCAGCTATGGCAAAGTGCTGAACTAGTCGCCATGTGAATGGAAAGTGACCACCTGAGTCCAACTCAGGACTTTAGCGCCACTCCTAAATCTCTGCTAGGATGATGGATATGCGTCAATGTCCCTGCTGATCTACATAGCTCACCTACAATAATGGGTGATATCTGATGTTATCGGTACGTTTTCTGGCCTTTTGGCCTTCAGTTGCTGCTCATATTTATCTGATTTCTATTTAGAATTGGCTTACTTGGTCAGACCTACACTGAAGAACAAGATATCAATGGAAGTCTCTGCCACTTGCAGACGTTGCTGTACACAGACCAAGCACCCATCCCTGCGTGCGACAATTTCTATTATGGCTTCCGCTACTCACCTGGTTCAGCTTACGTGGATAGAATAGAACAGAATTTATTCATCTATCGTCATCAACACGACCTGCCCTTAAAATGTCAGCCTTGGAACAACGCGCGAACATTAATTATACTAAGGTCACAGCATCATCGTGGTGATGCGTCATCTATTGAAACAGACTACATGACCTTTAAGACAACCCAAGCCAGAGCGCCCTGCTGTTCGAGTGCTACCTATGCAAAATGTAACGTTAATCGGGCATTATGATATTTAACCTCCGTTTTTACTGAACATTAGGACTTTGGTAGTTTCCTAACCGGTCATGTTCATACGTACAGTCCTGTTCCATAGTTATCACCAGCCAGGTTGAATTTGCTATCACAAGCAAAATGTAATGCTAGTTTGCCATAGATGTACCTAATTTCTATATGTTGTTAATGGAAAATAGTACTTCAGCTGTTTCGTAACATGTCATGTGCATATTATTAACCTGTTCGATGGCTATTCCAAACCATATGGAATTTGATATCACAAGCCGAATGTAACACTAGATCTCACATAGATAAAAACCTGATCTCTGTTATTGACGAGAAAAGGTACCTTAGTGGTTTGCTAAACTGTCATGTGCATTCTGACAAAGATGTTCCAAGGTTATCACAAACCAGATGAAATTTGCTATCACAGGCAAAATGTAACGCTAACCTCGCATAAGGTGTCTATTCTTTATCTGGCTTATCTGGTGATAAAAAAAAGATATACATTGGCGGTTTTCTAGCCTGACATGTTCATAATTACACACCTGTTCAATGGTTATCACAAACCTCGTGGAATTTGCCATCACAAGCAAAATGCAACGCTAGTCTCGCATAGATGTACCTAATCTCTGTCGTTCATTAATGAAAAATGGTACTTCGGCGGTTTCCTCAACTGTCTTGTGCAATCCTATTATGCTGTTCCATGGTTATCACAAACCAGATGAAATTTGCTATCACAAGCAAATGAGAAGATATTATTGACAATTCCTTGTTGCTACGTTATCCCAAACGCTTTCAGTGTTGTTATTTGTGCAATGGAGTTCAGTATTGAGTCATTATCCCAAACATCTTCATTCGTCCTTGGTGTGGAGCTGGCTATCACAAGCTAGGTCCATGTGCCAAGCAACCGAGTCCAATGTTACAACGTTAACCCAAATGTCTTGGTTCATCCTTGGTGTGGAGCTGACTGTCCCAAGCCATGTCCACGTTGCTATCCCAAGCAACCGAGTCTAATGCTTCCACGTTATCCCAAACGTCTTCGTTTGTCCTTGGTGTGAAGCTTACTATCCCAAGCCATGTTTCAGCGTTATCCCAAACGTCTTTGTTCGTCCTAGATATGGAGTTAGCTATCACAAGCCAGGTCCAGGTTGCTATCCCAAGCAACAGTGTCAGAACGTTATCCCAAATGTCTTTTTAGGCACAGTCTACAGCGCCGATGAGGCATCCATACTAATATTCATTTAACTTGCACCTAAAACAGATCAGTTAGTCGACAGCTAACTGATGGTGACGCCCCGTCAGAAAAAGAGGCCCGCACGCCACTTTCTAATTTTGCTCCGCGACGAAAGGAACCTTTAGGCGACCGTCGGTCGGTATCTCGTTCGACAATGCACATCTATTGGTCAACCTTCTGCCCTGTTCTCTAATTGTAAATGTTCAGCGGTTCCTCAACACTGCTGAAAACGTAGAACGATGCTCGCCGATTGACGTATTAACGGTTTGGCACGAGAACAAGGAATGAATGTTTATAGGCGGCCAGAGGGGAGGAAGGTAGGAGGAAAAGGCGCGGTGCCGCTTTCCTTTGGTGCGTGCGCGCTTTGAAATCTTGGGGGTTTGGTACAACTATAAGGGTACTACGATATGTATTCTAAATATTTACTTTGACGAGGACAGAATATAATTACGTGAGTAATGTTCAGACCTAATTCAGGGAATCGAACCTTTATCAGTTCGGTCATATACTGACACATTCTGAATTAATTAATTGTATGGCTATTTTAGTTCCCTTTAACATTATATGGTGTTTCAAGTTCTAATAAAGTAGAGATGATTAACATAGCCAAAAACTGATTATCATATTTCATTCCTACCTTACTTAAAATGTAGTCATGACCATTAGCAGCCATTTTGCTTGGAGGGGTTTTTTATATGCAAAGGAACTTTTCTAAATAAAAAAGTTTGTTAGCAAGTAAAAAATGAATCTGTAGCACAACAAAATGAGGATCTGGTTCAGAATTAATTGTGTGCCACTGTCGATATAGGGAGTTTTAAAATATCACTAGATAATCAGCTGTTACTCTGTCGTGATGGATGCTCGTGGACAATACTGTAGCCACATCAGTAACGATGATGTAATATTCGTAGTGGTCGATTCTGGTGTGATAGATGGCGATTCGCGCTGTCATATTTCGATAGATCGTACCTCCTGGGTGGAGGATAGCTACGATGCTGTCTTTCGTTGTTCAGAGACGAGAGACCAAGCCTAGACCATGCTGATGAGTAGGCAAGAAGCACGAAACAGCTGTTCATGTTTGGATGTCTTTGGGACGGGCAGACTAAAGCATCATGTTTAGAAGTAATAATTCACTAATAAATTTTCAAATTTCCCAGAAAGTGATCAGCATTTTGCACCGTGCGGGAGAGAAGTGAGCTTAATCGGAAATATCTTGAATTGAAACCGCCCAAATGTACAGACGTTCGTATCAATCGTAAAAGATTGCTCAAAATGATTGGGGTTTGAGAGTTTGGTTTTTGTATGAAATATTACTTGTTTCCTGCAGAGCATAGCTGACCCCCTCTATATGCTTACTTATTAAAAAAAACGCGATTTTGGGGTAAGAGGTAATTGATGTTGAATGAATGAAAGTTGAATACAGAAGTTTCCAGCCTTATGTTATCATAGGTATTATCAGGAGACCCGTAAAGCTATTATAAATACTTACTTCGTAGTATAATGACGCATTGTTTTGTACACACGGCATACATCAGAATGAAATTGTACGCCTAATAACTATAAATTATGAGATGAAAAATTAAATGAGTCATGATTACAGACATTATTACAAATATCAAATTGATTCTTAACTCCACGATATGTTTTTGTGTGTAGAAATAATTGTGAGTACGTACGAAAGAATATAATGACTAAAAAACAGCAAAATCAATAGCTACACTGCAATTATATAATGAAATCAAAGTCTACTACACAAACTAGATTGCAAGTTATATGATTCAAGTTATTACACGGGTAATGTAAATAAACAACTACAATGTGAAGTAAGAGTAATTTACGTTTTGAGTAACTTACCTATATATGGGTTGGTTTCTACATTTTAGAAAAAGATCTGTTACAACAGTATTTTTTAGAAGTACTGTGCTATTGCCAGTGTTGCCACCATTAAGTTTAAAATTGAATATGTAATAATTGCTCCAAGAAGCCGTCTTTAGGGTGGAGCGAGTGGAGAGGCCGCTCCAGGAAGGCCTCGCGCTAAGAAATATGTAAGTTTTGGTTGAATGAAAATAATATAATAATGTATATACAAATATTAATCTTATTCCTGATTACTATCGCAATATGTTCAATTATTGATCAATTACAAAACGCACGAACGAGATAGTCGTGACCAAAAGAATGCAAAACATCGTTTGATAGTCTCGGCTCTACGAACCCCGCGCATGCCGGTGGGTGACTCATACTTGCCGGCGCGCTGCTTTAGAGTTGCGTCGCAGTTACTTCAAGAGCTAGTTCAGTTTTTTTAGAAATTTAGAGTTGAGGGTTTTGTCGCGGCCACATTGGTAGCAAGATAACTTAGTGAAACTTTGGGTGTAGAGCCAAAGTTCAAAGAAGTCAGACAGATGAAGAAAAGAAGAATGTTTGAGTTCGAGGGAGAAGATAAGCCTATGTCAGAATCTGCCGGGCAAAAGATTAAACAATATTCAAGATTTCCACTTAAGAATACCAAGCAAATAATATACATCTGCAAATAATATCAATATTTTGTAATAATATGTGCTTATTCATGACTGATTATTCACTACAAAGAAAACACATTTCTTATACTAATTTATTTATTTCCTGGCAGAACTAAATTTTATTGTAATTTTCCTAAAGACTCATTGCTTAAAAAATTAAAGTAGCAGAGTTTAAACCATAGTTATAAATCATATTTCTCTTTCATCTCAACTCTTTACACAGAGTGAATTGTATAACTTACTCAAAAATAAAAATATAATCAACCCTGGCAAAAAGATACGTAAATAATTGGCGTGTTTCGAGATGAAATGACTTCATCGAAAATGATAAGAACACTTTTTTGCACAAGAATTTTAAATGTTTTCGGAGTGGACCACTTTCTTTAAAAAAAGGCCTAGCACAAATGTTTTGCCCCAGGCCTCGCATCTGCTAAGGATGGCTCTGCCAAGAAGGTATAAAAAATTGTTACTAATCGTTAACAAACACTAAGTACTATTTATGTAAATATAAGAGTAGATGGGACAACCACCTGTTTTTTATGCCTTCAAAAGTATAATAAAGTTTGTTTCAAAGTCAATTGTTGTTCTTTGATAAACAGTCCGCTTTTGACACCGGATTCCGCAAGAACGAGAAAGCACGTCCGAATACGTGTTAAAATCTGATATCAAGGTTAGATCTAAAAGTCAAATGAATGTGAAATGTGCGAGAGTGAGGAAACTTGCTTGAAGTTTAGCAGGATAAATGGTAACAAGAATCAAGGACAGACCTTTAGTAACTTTTAACAAGTATTTCAATATTGATATTGAATATGACATTGAGCCTCACCTTCTAAGTCATAATAGTACATAAGAACTTATATTTTTCAATTGTCAATGTCAAAGGCGAGGGATTCCATTTTTCCATTTGAAAAAAAATACCTTGAAATGTCTTTGACGATTGAATCCAAGATCACCATTGAAATCCTTGTTTAAAAATATTAAAATAATTATAATAGTATTTAATTAATATTACTAATCTTTTCATAAATAATCCTGCTAAGCTTTCAGGAAGTTTCCCTCACATATTTGTCTTTCATATGATCTTCAGATGCGAGACTGATCATAGATGTAATTCACATTCAGACGTAGAATTTTCAGGTCTTTCAATTGCCACTGTCAAAAACGGGATTCCTATTTTAAAAAACAAAAGTTGACTTTGAAATAACCTTGAGGTTGAGTTTCAAGGTCAAATCCATGGTGTCAGTCAATCTCCTTGTTCAAAGTTAGTAGAAGCGGTGGAGAGGCGAAGCCTGGATGCCTGGCAGAGTGGCCACCTTTGACCCTTTTTGTCGACTCCGTAGTACTATTCCACAAGCCAGCTACTGGTAACTAATTGTTGAATAAAGTAGCTTAAGCGATGAGATGTACGTATCGTTAATATTGCACTAGCTTGCGTGATATAAATAACACTCAACACAGCATTCAAGGCATGGAATGATCTTCCGAGGTGGAGATTCAAAGCCGCGAGCCCGAGTTACTAGCGCACCGCGCTAACCACCGAACTAGCGAGGCTCCCTCTTGTTCAAAGTTAGTGCAGACCTCTCCTTGACCTTTTTCAAAAATACTTTCCCTGGAGGATCACAGAGCAGTTCCGTTACTTTTGTTACACCCCATATGAGTGTGTACAATGATATAAAATGACTTTTTTTCCATTGTATGCCCAATTTTAACACCTTCCTGGGATTACTATACTTTGTCGAAGTATGAGGTATCTGAGTATTATTTTGTCCTTAAGATGCTTCTTTATAGTATATACCAACAAACATTTCTCTATTTTGAAAGTTGCCTAGTTAATTTTTTTTCAAATTTAGTTCAGTAGCGGCATTATTATAAAGCATAGCATTGTGGTGTTATCACTCAATGTCCTTTTGATAAACCAAGTAATAGTGATACTGAATTTTGGTTTTAATATTTTTCATGATACTGGTTTTTTGTTCAAATTTTGATGCCATTAACGACATAAGCTTGATTTTAATGGTCAATGAGAAAGTTAAATCTAAAGAATGCATATATTTTTCGGAAATACAGGGTAGCTACATAATTACTCGTACTAGTTTCATCACAAATATACAAGTACAATAACACATGAAGATTGTTTTACATTGGGTACAAGAAGTTCAATTATTCATGCCAACATTTGTTTTCTCACGATTATGAAATTGGATGAATTTGAAAATATAAGAAGCTATATTGACTGAAAATGTATGTATGTAGTTCAATATCACTATTACTTTTGATACAAGGAAATAGTGGTGTGTTATTTGTCCCAATAAGTTACCAATAGTTCAGTATAACAATAGGTATGAAACTAATTTTTAAAATTTATTTTCCGGACTTTTTTCTTGATTCATTTGTGCATATTTCAGACCATTGATGTCTCACTTATTCACCAAATGAAGCGACCTATAGTTAGAAAAATATAACATTGTCCGCTATATCAACCATTGGTTTGATGTAACCGGCAACTATCTGTATGAATATTGTTCTTACATTATGCGACATTTTTTGTTATTGTATTTTAGTTTGTATTTGTATATATAGCACATATAATAATTCCATATTTTGGTATTATTTCAATTATTGTTGCAGATTATATTCATAACTCATTTCCTAATTAACGAGTAACGTATGATGTTTGATGCAGTATTTACAGGTGCTCTATATATAGATCAATGCCAATAAATAATCACTGATTGATGTATTCTACCAGGTAGAATACATTAATCAATGCAATATAATATATCAATTAGGTAATTTTTTGTTCATTTTCATTGTCATAACATAACTTTTGTTGCTAGCTATGTTTCTGATTCACTCTAGTGCAATGGGCTAAGATATGACATCTCCTTTGTTAAAAACAACTCTTCGCAAATATAATGTATGATAAGGAGACTCGAAAGATACCGGAAATTATTTAACTAGCTTTTTTAATTCCAAGCAGACCAGTAACTTCAACCAGTCTACTGATACTCAAACCATTAAGTAGTTTTAAGTGTTCTTTGTATATCTGGCGTATCATACAAACATTTGGGTCCCATGTACAGGGTGGCCCAGTAATAAAGGGCGCCGGCTTTATCTCGGAAACTGCTTAATCTAGAGCAATCGCCTAAACAAATTTATAACAAAAGTGGACAAAAGACGTTGCTGGAAATTATTTCCAGCTTCCTAAAATTTCTGCTATCAACATAGTCATTAAATAACATTTGATAGCTCAATTTCAAAGCTTTTTTATTTATGTCACTTGCTCGTATGTTGATTAATTTATTGTGGTATTGAATGTCATTTTAGAAAAATGTCACAACTTCTGTTCTGTTCTGTGTCAATTTTGATAATCTTGGGTTCTGCGGTTCCAATGAATGCTCAAACAGCAGAGTAATATCTGCATTTGTTATGGAGATTTATATTAAGAAGAATAGGCTTAAATTCTTAAGTACTACTGGATAAGAAGAAATGAAGGATTTTTGCTTATTTATAGCATTAATCCTACTTCTGTTCAGCAGGGGTGCGTTTGTAAATCACTTGGTAATATAATCCCATACACAGTAACGGATTGCGGAGTGACAGCTGCAATTTTACTCTGGCATACTGTGCAACTTTATTTTTAGAACGCATAAATTATTACAGAGTTATAATGACACTTGATGACAGCCGAATAATTTCTAACCACGAGTTACGCCACTGGAAATGCATAGGTTCGAAGAAAGAAGACGCTGCATCAGCTTTTTCCATTCTTATCTTACACACACACTTGCATTGTTATTCAGATTCACTTTGCTTTTACTACAATCAACTCTGTAATTCTTCTTAATAAAAATTTTGTTAGTTCGGTCTGAAAAAAGTATTTTGAGTTTTTTTTTTAAAACTCATCGACGCAAGCTCCCGTCCTATCTGGCGCAGTAAGCAGTAGGATTCTGGTCGAGAAGTTCCGCCGCGCCGCGAAATTTCTGTTAGTTTCAACCCTTAACGACCAAACGGATCTCCCTGGAAGGGAAGAATTACCTGGAAGCCGGCAGGAGTTGAGGCCAAGAAGTTGGACTTGTCAAGTGGACATTGGTGAGCCATCCTTTTTCCTATAATTCCTTGCCTTCCCGTTGGTTCAAAGGCAAAGTATCTGCCTAGGGTACCAGCGAATATGGTACTTTAGCGTTCATTTTAAGTGGATCAATGCATATGATCCAGTCTAAGAGTTAGTGAATATAACTTCTTCAGACATAAAAATTAAGCAAACTGGAGTTAAGAAAGCAAGACAACAGAAAATAAGTCAACATTGAGGACTTACTGGAAAACTTTAATAACTTAAGCTTAGATAGTCCTACAAGTAGTAGTAGTAATATTAGCACAATGAGCACTGAATCACAGGTGAATTACCAGCTACTGAGACTATATATAGACACAATTCCAAATTTTAATGGTGACAATAGTACTTTAGCAATTTTCCTTGAACACTGTGATCATCTGATTAACACCTATACAAACTTGAACAATTCTAGTGACCCCCTTAATGGTTTTCTGATAAGAGCTATCGTAAGCAAATTAACAGGCAATGCTTTAGCTTTAGTAGGAAGTAGACCAGAAATTAGAAATTGGAAAGATTTAAAGATTCTTTTACGGCTCAGTTTTGGTGATCAAAGGAATTTGGGTTGCCTTGTTCAGGAACTAATTGTTATGAAACCTCATAAGAATGAATCTTTCTTTAATTTTGGGCAAAGAATTCAAAAAGCTAGGAGTGCAATAGCTTCAAAATTAATATCTATGGATGTATCAGTTGCAGAAAGAACTTTTCAGATAAAAAATTATGACGAATTGTGCTTGAAAACATTTATTCGTGGTCTCACAGGTAGAGTACAAGATATGGTTAGACTTAGAAATCCAGATAGCCTCGAATTAGCTATTTCATATGTGTTAGAGGAAGAAAATTTCATGCTTCATCAGAGACAATTTAATCAAAGCTCTGGCAATATTGCTTTTAGTCAGAACCTTCCCAAATCTTAGCTACCAACCCATATTCCACAAAATTTCAATCTAAACAGTTTTTTTCTTTTCCACGATATCCAAATGTAATGCAACAGCCTCGAAGTAGTTTTCCTTCTCAACCTATAAACATTTAACCAAAGCAAAATATTCCAGCTCCTAGATTTTTCACGAATCAGCAAGTATTTGGAAAACAGAATTTTCCTCCAAGAAATCATAATGTCTTTAAGCTTACAGGTCAAACACCTCAAATTAAACCCGAACCTATGCCAACCACGTCTAGAAATTCTAACGTTCAGAGATGGAATCAAAATAGAAATTACTTTCAAAGCTCAGTACCTAACAATTTTAGTAGTCAGGAACTCCATAATTTACAAAGTACCTCAGAAACCTGATACTGATTTGCAATATTTAAAGAAATTGTAAAAAATCTTCAAATTTGTGAAGTTAGCGAGTTTCACTTCATACGTTGTTACCATACATGCCCAAATCATCAGTTGATGCCATGACATTCATCCCAACCACTCCATCCCCACGGCTTGGCGACCTGTATGTTAAATTTGTGTTGATAGGGCAGGGGGTTATGCTATAAATCATATGTCACAGTGTTTGTGCACTGATTGCAACGGTTAGATGATACCAAAAATATTTTCATAAATAGATCTTTTCCATTCCGGATCAAACAATCTACCAAAGATGCTTAGAATCATGAGACCTAGAAATTTTCATAAAAAATCCGCTGTATGTAGGTATTGAGCTTCCTTATATTGGTTCATCAAGTTGATAATACAACACATTTGCCAAAGATGATCATAATCAGGATAGTATACTATGACGAAGGTCCACTGTATGTAAGAATGTTCAGATACTTCATTTGCAATTTGAAAACAGACCATGATGGTGATCACATTTTCCAAATATTCTTCAAGAAGTGTCATCAGTCTAGCTCCAGCTATCATAAGTACTATGTTTGTGTTCCTACTTTAAATTCAAAGCCAGCAAATTTTTTAACAAACGTCCAAACCTGCTGCCAAATTTAACAGCTAGATAATCGAACTATTATTTGCCGCATTCCCATTCGCTTTGGGGTAACTGATAGTTAAATGTAAATTTATAACAGAAATCAAAGTACATGAAGTCCTGTTTTCTCTGTACAAAAGCATCATGTTGGAATGAAAAAGTGGTCTTGTTTATAACGCAGTTGAATTTTTACGATTTTATTCAATATCGCAATAGAAATCACTGATATTCAGAGAGCTTTGACAGCTTCCGTCAAATTGCATTTCAATAAAGTCTTTTCAAATTGGTCCAAACTGATTAACGATGGCTGTAGAGTAGATGTGGTCTTCCTTGCATTGAAAAAACTGAAACATGATGCTTTCGTCCAGCCAACCATGGACAGCTGTTTCGTGCTTCTTGGCTACTCATTAGCATGGTGATTGCGACGCCTTCGTTCGTTTGCCCAGAGACAAGAGATCAAGCCTGTTAGATCATGCTGATGAGTAGCCAAGAATCAAGGAACAGCTGTCCATGGTTGGCTGTCTTTCTTGGTCGGACGGACGAAAGATTCATGTCTTAGTTCTCTTCCTAGATAGCACATGACGTCTTAGAGACCTCCTGAAGACGTCTTTCCTAAAACCCGCAAAAGACATCTATAGTTACGTGATCGTGATGACGTCTTATTTCAGACTTTTATCGACTCGATTTTGAGTACAAGTATTCAGTGAATTGGGCTTACTTGCTGATGACGTCTTAAAGGTTTTTCGTATGAATCTGCCAAAATCAGAGAGGCTCTGATGTATGTCCCGGAAGGTATTTTCGGAGACCTGTATAAGACATCTGCATTTATAATTTATAATAATAATAATAGACGTCGTTATTTATCCACAATTACATTGTAGTATAGTCAAATGTCAGACTTACATGGCGAAGTTTAGCATGCTGCTACTCTTACACCTAACCATATAGTCGCTACCAGATGTTCAAAAGAATACACTAACAGATTTGGTTCATTACATCGAATGTAAAAATTAAAAAAAGAATAACGGCATACTGTCCAAACCCAAGTACACCAAAAATTATTAACCTGGATTAAAGACGGAATAAAAAAGAAATGAATGGTTACGTAAATTATATGTTTGGAAGGTTGAGTAATATTGTTTTAACTTTTTTCCGAAAGACAGGTAATAAAAATTCTTTATATACTTTAGGAAGGTCATTATAAATAATAGCACATTGTAAAAGCTGCTACACACAGTGCCGGCGGCAATGCCGCCGGGTTTATGCCGCCGGCACAAGTCGCGCAAAGCCGTCTAGCATCATTCCGGTTGTGACAGTCACGTAGAAAGCTAGTGAAGTGCTGCATTTCTGGGATTCCATAATATATCATTTTCATGAAATTTTTCAATTAAGAGCAGCACAGCTTCGTCGTCCCAATTAAACGACATTTTAATTTGTTTAAACACACAAACCGCACAACAATACCGCTCGAATGCCAGGAACGAAGTGACGCCGGCAAGCCGCGTAACCCGCCGGCACACCACGGCGGCTCCTTTGCGCGGCAAGGCTTTGTATGGCGCCGGGTGTACGGCGGCTTACCCGGCGGCTTGCCCGGCGGCCCTGCCGCCGGCACTGTGTGTAGCAGCCTTAAGAAAAGCTGCGTTTAAAAAATGTAGACGTATGCTGGGGTATTCTGATATTATTTTCTCTGAGAATTCTACAGTGAACATCATTATTCAATTAAATTTTTTCCCTCAAGTAAGAGGGTTTAGACGTAAACAGCAATTTATGAACACAAACTGAATAGTGAAACTTGACCGTGTCATTAATTTTTAACCAGTCTAGAACAGTATATTTCGCTGATATATGATCAAATTTACCTAATCCAAAGATGAAACGTATACAATTGTTTTGAATAACTTGAATAACGTTTTTAGTGAAATTGTCTAAACAAGTGTAGTACACGATATTACAATAATTTAGTATAGATATGACCAACGATTCACGTAGTTTTTTACGCAAGATTTGGTTATTTGTCTGAATGTGCAAGAGCTGTGTTACACTGTATGTTTTTCTTTGTGCGACAAATAATAATTTAGATTTTTGTGGATTAATAAGTAGATTGTGACCTGAAGACTATTTAGTTAATTTATCAGTATCGTTTTGTAAAATTTTAGTAGTATTATTGGCATTATCTGGGTTAAAATAATGGAGCAACAGCGTATCGTCTGCAAATGACATGGACATGAGAATTATCAATATATATATATATATTACCCTATGATGCCAAAGACGCGTCTGAATGACGCCTATGAGATGTCTCTAAGATGCTTACGAGGCGTCCCTAAGACGCATCCGGGACGTCCATGTTATGTCTTGGATGCCTGTTTAGTAACAACAATAGACCAAGACGAGACGTCTTAAAGTCGTTCTGATTAGTAACAAACGGCCTCTAAAGGACGTCTGTTAGAATTGCAGACGTCTTTGATGTGTCTCGAAAGTCAAGATCGGATTTCCTAAATGTCCTAAATACATCTTTGAGACGTGTTTCTGCTATTTGTGTTGGCCATTTATAAATCTGTTAATATATAGCTCTAGGTTCCCGAGATACAGCCGACGTCCTTGGCCCATCCGGTACATATGTAGCTAAAGTTGGAATAGCGATTTATAAAGGATACTGTAGGGCCGTATCGTCAGTGGTTCCTACAATTGTAGGACGCGCTTATGGCTTCCTTGATTACCCTGTCATTCATAAAAGCAGGGGTATTTCTAGATTTCTAGTGTTCTAGTAAGCGCTATAATTTGAGGTTATATATTTTTTTTATTTATAAGATATTTCAGGCTCATTAAACTTGATTTTTATCATCTGTTAACGCTGATACGGAACAGTAGAAATCTAAAAATACCGCAGCCTTTCTGAAAGAGAGAAAAGACCATGAAAATCAAGGAGGTCATAAAGGCGTTCTATAATTATTGTAGGAACGACTGACGATACGTCCCTTAGACACACAAATAATCGACTATCTCGGTATGTTTTCCAAGCATCGTGCGGTTTTTAAACTTTTGTATCTGATTTTTGCAACAATAGTGTATAATTCTATATACAGTGCTGGTCGTTTTATGTTTTAGATTTTTATGTTTCTGAGAAAGACAGACAGAGAGAACCGTGTTAGAAAGAGTGCGTCTAAGTGTCCTGACCACGTTTCCTGGCAACAACAGAAGGGGAGGAGTTACAGCCTCGCTCCGCGCCCACTGTACTTGCCAGGCAACGTAGTGACGACGCTTATATGGCGCATTATTTAAAACACGCTTCTCTCTCTCGAACACTGGAAATCTAAGAGGAAAAACGACTTTGCTCAGCACTGTATTACAGATATCATTGACTCTTATGAAGGTTTAGTGAGTGTTGGTCCAATATATGCAGATGCATATCACAGAAGCAAATTTCATATGTATTTTTCAGGATAGAATTAATAATTATTAGAAATGTTTGAATAAGCATTTTTGAATTCGCTCTTTAAGCATTACTTACAAATATATACATATATATATATATATATATATATATATATATATATATATACATAATACCTGAAATAGATATTTCAAAGTTATTTCCCAGGATAAATAGTAGCCTATGAGCTATTTCAAACTTTAATCTACCTCTGAACCAAATTTCATTCAGATCGGCAGGGTTATTACGTAAAAACCTATAGAATGTCAAAAAACCGACAAAAAGTCAACTCGCTGATTATTACTGAACATGCTGCCCCTGAAGTAAATGTATTAGCTATACCAGAGTTATTTTTATAAATTACTAGTTTTAACCTGCGCGCGTTTCTACGCCACCAACTAAAATAAAATTTAATGAATTTCACAATTTACATAAAAACTCGAAACGTCATCGTTCGTTCGCCGTTTTCGTTTCAATCCAAATCCGCATGAACTGTCACGGCAATATATGAAATTCGTTGGAATGACAGTGGCGCCGTCTGTCGAAAATTGGTCGTACCAACTCAGAAACCTTCATGCGCTCATGCATAACAACTTTGCATCACATGATCAAATGCATAGTTTACGATTCTACAAAAGACATACAGACAAGCATTCATTTTTATATATATATATATATATATATGTAAAATGTAGTAACCTTTTCACGTTTCATAAATATTCCTGTCTGTACGCATATTTTATTACTTGTTAGTTGTAATATACTTCACCAATCAGGGACTTCCTTTTAGTATCTCTCTCATTTTTGAAATTGAGCAAATTCAGCATATATGTAATTTCCAGGATGAATGAGAAAAAGTGAACTAATTTCTAGCTTTGAATACGTCTCACGTAAGTGTATTTGAGACAAGAAACTAGTTGAATTATCATCAACACAGATTATTAGGACACAAAACCTCAATATGCACCTATGCACTGCCGTTTCCTTCCAGCTATAGTATACCACTTACAGCTTAGACCTCCAATAATGCCATCACATCAGAGCCAAACACTGTTAGCTGAAACATCATGATGTTTAGGCAACACGTACAGCTGCAGAACGAGTGCACATCAAGTGAACAACAGCTAGTTCTAAGTTAACATCTTGTAGAAAAACTTACATAATATCACAAAAAACCTATATAATGTCAAAAATACCGACATAATGTCACTTTTATGATACGTAATACCCCTGCCGTTCAGTCATTTTGGCGTGATTGAGTAACAAACACTTTCTCATTCATAATGGTAGGGAATAACGATTCATTTGTGATAGATTGTGAGATACGATTTTAACAGTATGGTAGCCATGTTATTTAATCCTGTATTGCAACTTTGAGAAAAAAGTGTGTTTTGAGTTATTTTTTGTGAATATCATATTAGAAGTAAACGTTTGAAATGCAATTCAATAGATAATGCATATGATAATACATACTTAGACGTAGGTGAATGATGTTTGATACGAAGCATAAAAAAAGAATGTGCCTCATGAGAAGACATTATTATCGTTAGTGCTGGGTAATTTAATGAATTTAGAATTAGTCCCTGTTTCATTTTTTATGGTTGACTTGCAATATTTAAAAAAATAGACAATTTCGTATTTGATATCAGAAAAGCTTGCCTCCATTTTTTTGGTGTGTTTTGCCATGACAATTTTTTTGTCAATATCATGTATTTTTCAAAATTCTTCAGTCATTTCTTAATTCTGCAACTCAGTAATCTCACTGTTAACACCAGTTGTCTGTCTGAATTTAGCTATACAGGACTAGGTTGTTTTAGGCATTTTTATACTGGGCAGAAATGCTTCATGAAAATAGGGCTTTTTCAAAATAGGCTTATTTCAGACATACGCGTAATTTTTTTGTGTAAAGCTTGTAAATATAGGTAGTAAGTCTTGTAGAAAGATATTTTTACATCCTGACAATACCTACATTTTAAGTTATTTTTTGTCAAGTTGAAGATGATCGCAAACTTGTTGAATAAATAAAATCTTCATGAAAAATCAATGTTTGTTTTCTGACTCAACTCTTGCATCCCATATAAGTATGAGAGTTAAACAATAGTATGTATGAAGATTTCAGGCATTCCCTCAGAAGTAATAAGAACGGACTCCATTTTCTATTTAAGGAAAGTCGATCGTTCGTCTTCAAGATTTCGTATTCTCAGAATTTCTCAACGAGGTAAAAGAAAACCGCATAACCTACAACCGTCTGAAAGGTGGCAAAGCTGGCCCTAAAAAGTGTAGTCTACATTTATATATATATGTATACATAATATATATATATAAGTTATGTACCAGTCTATAGAGAAGAATATGCTGAACAAGGACTTTTGCCTCCACGTTCCTTTCTTATCAGTTTCAGTATTGTATTTCATTTGTTCTTTACTTTGGTTTGTATAATGAAATTTGCAGTCAGTCTCGATTCAGAACTCATTCAATTAACATCATTGTATTTGGTTATTCTCAAAAATAAATCTTTTTAAAAACGTTTTCGTTGAAGAAAGATATTTGAGTTATACAGGGTGACTTTGAAGTTGAGTCATTTATTTTAACAGTGAGTAGATCTGATCAAAAGAAATGTTTTTTTCCTTTACCATTTTTCTGGTAAAATTAAAGTAACAAAGTTATAGCCCTTTGGAAGTTTGAGTACCGCCCTGTCTCAATAATAATATTATATGTTCGTGTTTGGCGACAACGGATATAATCCGCCTGACCGGTTCATCGCATCGGAAACAAAAAAGCGAAAGAATTTGAAACGTTTATCACGATGTTTTTCGTCAGTCGATAACGCGTTAGTGAATAGTAGTGTTTGTTGCGTGGCTCAAACGAAATCAAAAATGGCACATGTTTACGAAAATGCTGAACTTGTGGACATGATTCTTATTTACGGGGGGGCAGTCTTTACAAAATGCTCCCGGATGCATCACGGATTTATGCGAATCGGTTTCCCAATCGAGTGCAACCAACCCCTCGTGCCTTTGTTAATGTAGTACAAAGGGCTCGTGAATCAGGTGACTTAAGACCTCACAGGTCAGGGCATGCTGCTCCAAGACCGCACGATCAAATACAGGTCCGCACTGAAATCCTTGTCGGGCCGATACTTTATTAAACAAGGTAACATTTTTTTTTATTTATTTTTTTATTTTTACACACATATTTTGGTTTATCTTCCTTCTACAATCATTATCTGAAAATTAATGTCTCAACTTCAAAGTCACCCTGTATATATATATATATATATATATATATCCGTATACATGGTAATCAATGCTTCTATGAAATCTAACAATTGAAAAGAGGCAAATAAAAGCAAAGTAATATAACAAAATCTGTAATTAACTAGACAGTTGAAAATACACAATTATTGTATTTTCAAAACTTATTTACATTAACGTAATTTACTTTAAATGAAATGCAAAGTATACTAACTGGATCACAAATCTTTGGTAATACAAATGCAAAGAACACTATTTTTCTTTCGCTTCTGCCTTCTCTTTATGTAACAATTTTTTCAGCCTATCAAGCAATCCTAATTTTTTCATTGGTTTCAGCACCAGTTTCCTAGTAGTGATATTATGTAGTGGTCCAAAAGCAAGTGCAACAACAGTACAGGCTAAACAGATAACGTTGTAAGGCATACTAAAATCTGGGGTAGGCAGAGTTATCACTAAACTCTCAGTCCTAACTTGCACAAGGTATCCGTTTCGCGAAGCATTAAAACTGTCTCTTATTGTACCGCCATCTTGCGGTAAACCAGTGAAGTTACGCGCTAGAGGTAGATATGCTGAAATTATTGCCGATCCAATGTAGAAGCCATGGTTTGCATCTGGGGGGTATTCTTGCCATTTCAAGAATATGTAATCAAAGTCTACGGATATCGTTGTTGTAGACTGGGGAGGCAACCTCAATAGTACTTCAAGGTAGTAAGGTTTTTCGCGTTGCTTTCCAGGAATATACCTCAGAGCAAATGGTTGGATGTCTCTGCCATTAGCGACGATTTTCAATGTATGCAAATAGATTGGAACATACCAGGGAATATTTTGTAATAGAATAACATCTAGATGTTTCCAGAAGTTATTGTAAATTTTTGTGACTATCCCACCTTTCTCTTGCCCATAACCAATCAAATACTGGTTAGCATGGATGTAAGGTGGAATCTGGAGTGGCACTATCTCCGTATTTCCCTTTTTTGTGCTCAATGACAAATAGTTATCTTTCAGTGTGTATTTGGCAAAAGTGCTTGTGTATCCACCTCTAAATGAAGTTATTACTTCATCAGGAAGTTGCTCAAGTTCAAAGTATTTACTTGAAGCACTTATGGTGTCCACAAATATATCACTGCGATCAGCCAAAGCACACTTTTGATAGAAGCCTTGCCCAAACAACTTTCGGAAAGACCAGTCCTTGGTGCCCAAGATTTTATAGTCATAAACAAGTGATATAGTTTGTTGCAACTCTAACGCTGGGATAGTACAAGTAGAATCTGAACAAGTTTGACGGAAATGTATGCCCAAGGAATGGTATCTTGTATTGTGAATGTATTCAGAATTCAGTAAAGACGCTAGACCATGTCTGGTATCACAGGGCAGTAGTTTCTTCCATGGTGTTAAGTTTTCTGTGCAGACTAGTTCTCGTGGTAGACTGGCATACCTGAAACATTCCATTCAGGCTCAAAGATGGAGCAAGGCTGAATTCAACAAAAAATATTTATTGTAAAAACTTGACTCCCTAGAATGGCAGACATGAACTGTACATATGATTTAACAAAATAACATAAACCTGAATTTATAGAGGATTTTCTAGAGATTCCACTGGACCAAAATGGCTATATTGTGGTTGTACCTATGATACAATCTATCAGATTGTACATTATATAAAGACACATTTGTAAGACAATGTTTCCACCAAAAGCAACTCAACCTCAATCTAATTTTAACTTCAACTCCATGATTGTCTGGCCAAATTAAACCACCATATATAAAAATTATTTTTTAAAAGGTCAATAGTTTAGTGTGGCAAGTAAAAAAAATGTAGATAAAATCTTGCCATTCTAACAAAATCTTTCAAACATTTCTGTTTGTCAACTTGATCTAAATCTACTGAATATAAATTCTTTCCATGGCCTTACCTTACATAGCTATTGTTTATAGTGACATTCTCTACAACTCCCCTAGGTCTAAAACTGAACTCAGGGCTGATACTGTTAGACCTATCAACAAAATTAATTGAGGCACAAAATAGTCCTGATAGTCTATTGCTTAATAGTTTCCATTTTTCATCTAAACTCTCTGTTCCATCTTGGAACCAAGCCCAAACCTCAGCACCAGGGGCTGCATCATATACAGGGTAACCCCACTGTTCATATCTCCAAAGACCACTAGTTAGGCTTATGTGAAGCTCTAGGAGGCTGTATTCTTTGAGTATCTCGCCTAGGGCTCTTGGGAACAGTCGGCTGTGACTGACTATAAAAGAAAATGAGAAAAGTTATGAATGAGGCAAATATACATAGCAAGGCTGCCTTACAAGTGTCTTTTTTTATATCTGTGTGCCATTTTGTGGTGAATTGAAAATGAGCGTACAGTTGTTCAGCATATAAGGGTTTTATTAGGAGTTCTTCGGTAAATTCTTCTTTTTTGTAGGTTATTGCAGGTACTATGCAAAATAAAAATAAAAAAGACGCGAGCACCATAATTCTTTTTTTGATTGATATCACTTAATCATTTCATATGATCTTCAATCACAATATGTTAAATTTTCAAATTTGTCTTGTTATAAAACAAATGTTTAGACTAAAAGTCAAAAACACAAAACATATACACTGAAAGAATGCTTACTCAGTGTAGTTCAACCAGCAACAAGAATGTCGCCATGTTTTCGTGGTGAAAGATCAAATATGACACAGAAAGATCGCCTGTATACTCAGAACAATTCAACGAATGACATATGCCGCCATGCTTCTTACAATGACATACGGCGGTGCTCTCATGATTGTCTACTATCTCACCACATCTGTCACTCATTGTCATCTTTATTTGGTTGTTTTGAATGTTTTCCTATTTCCTAATAACAAAAATTAATTTTGCATTAGGAAAAACAATTCAAACACCTCACGTGTATTTGTGATTGGGTTCGTTCAAGAGTGATAAATAAAACAATATAATTAGGAAAATAACTTTATTCTGGTAGATAACGTAATGTGGTGCATTTGCAATATAGTGCAATGAAGAATCAGAAACCCCCATGGGAGGTTTCTGAATAATAATTCCAGTATACGATCATAAGGAAACTACAAAAAACCCATGATACCACACTCAACAAAAATGCAATAACAAAAATCTTGTGAAATCTGTATATAAAGCGTACAAGATTTTCGTTAATCAAACATTATACTTCTGAATAAACATTCAATTTACAAAATTTTACATTTACTTTATATGAGTAAAGCCTGTATGTATATGGTACAGGCCATATATAGTAATATAATAACATAAAATTCTAAAAAATAAAATAAAACAATTCTATCGCATTGTGGTAAAAATGTTCTGGTCAGGTATGTCACAGCCGGGTTTGTGATGGTTCATCCATGAAGGTACATGAAATAATTGAAAAACCAGCAGCAAATATTCGAAAATGATTTACCTGGTGGCATTCAACTTTTTCATTTTCCTTGAATGACCATCAGATGTTTCAAGAGGTCTTTTCAAATAATTTTTGTTTAATATACTAGAAGACTGGCAGTCTGATGCATTTGTTAATGATATTTTTGAGGTCATCATGAAAATTGCAAGGCTGAAAATTTTCAAGCAGTTGTGTCAGACCTGTTTTGAAGGCGACTTGATCATTAGGCAAATGGGCAAACATCCAAAAAACTATACAGTTTTACATGGATAACATCTAGTAGATGACTTAGTTTGTCATTTGCGTATGTCAGCCTCTGCTTGTTGTCCTGTTCTTTTAAATGAATATACAGATATAATGGAGTCAACTCATCAGGGAACAGTACTTCCCGACATGTAGAGCATTGGGGGATGTTAACATCCCTTTGTGTTGTGGTGAATTTGATATATTTTAGATTCCCTTTCTGCTAATTGACTTTTACTTACTTCTAATTGTGTAAGGCATGAACTCGAAGTGTCTGACAGAAATTTATATTTATCTTGATAATGAGTCTGTACCACAAAATCTGGCTTAGAATAGCAGTGATCGTGTTCAATTGTACTTACATCTGTCAAGTCTTTGGTACTTCTTTTGACAGGCAATTTACATGGCTTGCTGCCGAAGTTGAAGGAGAATCACAAATGCTTGCTGAGAAACCAACAAAGCATTCCTTCAATGAAACTGTAATATCAGAATGACTAATGGGTTGACTTAGAATTTGACCATCAACATCTTTTGGAACTGCTAGACAGTTCAAACGTGAATAGGGATCCTGAAGGGAAACATGATCAGACAGTACGAACTGGTCTTCGCAAACAGAAATTATCAGATTTTGTACTGGAAGCTAATCCACAGGCATTGTATCATAATTGCCTTTGACTGGGATTTTTGGGAATCGAAGAAATTTCTTGGATGGGGTATATGAATGACTTACATTCAATATGCATTTATTTTGGCAATAAGGATATAGGCGCTGTCGTGTCTATTTCTTGCTTTGTTTTTGCCATAGTAGTATCAAAAAGATTTAAGTGAAACATAATAAATGCCCTGAGCAACTTCACAATATTATCAGAATCAATGTCATTTAGGTACTCACCTGTATTTTTTAACCCACTCCAATCTTGAAACATGGGTGACAGAAACTGGAACCGAAAATATTGAAAATCATTTCTTGAAACACACAATTTATAAAAAAATAATGTAGGCATAGAGGAACCGAGTGGAGTGAGAAAATTTTATTCAGATTTTTTTTCAAGGTCGACATAAACGCATGCTTAAGGGTTTGATGACATGCTCTAAATTCCAGTAAATATCAAAATTATTACTTCATCAGGAAGTTGCTCAAGTTCAAAGTATTTGAAGCACTTATGGTATCCACAAATATATCACTGCGATCAGCCAAAGCACAGTTTTGATAGAAGCCTTGGCCAAACAACTTTCGGAAAGACTAGTCCTTGGTGCCCAAGATTTTATAGTCATAAACATGTGATATAGTTTGTTGCAACTCTAACGCTGGAATAGTACAAGTAGAATCTGAACAAGTTTGACGGCAATGTATTCCCAAGGAATGGTATCTTGTATTGTGAATGTATTCAGAATTCAGTAAAGACGCTAGACCATGTCTGGTATCACAGGGCAGTAGTTTCTTCCATGGTGTTAAGTCTTCTGTGCAGACTAGTTCTTGTGGTAGACTGGCATACCTGAAAGATTCCATTAAGGCTCAAAGATGGAGCAAGGCTGGCAATAAGGATATAGGCACTGTCGTCTCTATTTCTTGCTTTGTTTTTGCCATAGTAGTATCAAAAAGATTTAAGTAAAACATAATAAATGCCCTGAGCAATTTCACAATATTATCAGAATCAATGTCGTTTAGGTACTCACCTGTATTTTTTTAACCCTCTCCAATCTTGAAACTTGGGTGACAGAAACTGGAACTGATAATATTGAAAAGCATTTCTTGTAACACACAATTTCAAAAAAATAATGTAGGCACAGAGGAACCGAGTGGAGTGAGAAAATTTCACTCAGGCTTTTTTTCAAGGTCGACATAAACGCATGCTTAAGGGTTTGATGACATGCTCTAAATTCCAGTAAGTATCCAAAGTAAAACTGCTCTATTTCATTATCATATCTGACCTATATTAATTATTTCGGAGCAGCATTGTTCCAAACCACTCCACACGTCGGCACATTTTTTGCGGTAAAGGAAAAATGGCAGCTTGACAGCGGTGACGTTGAAGAAAGGCGTATGAAAGACAAGTGACACTATCAATATTGACAGTGTTGCCGGCCGTTCTTTCACCACGAAAAACGTTGCCAGATTTCCTGTGTTGCGCCTTGTCAGGCCTCAGTTGACCCCATGCTTAGACGAGGAAAGAGAGTGGACTCGTAACGCGCATTCACAGACCGGCGCAGTAAGTGTGCCCAATTATTGAAGAGACGCCATTATTTGGGTCCTATTCTTGAAGCCGACTCCAAGCCTTTTTTTCTGTGTTTCTGTGCTATTGTGTATTAAAGACTGCGACTTTTTTATTCAATAAGAATGGTGTTGTGCTCGGCTTTTGGTTGCAAAAATCGCAGTGAGAATAAAGTGCCAGGAATAACCTTTCACAGGTAAATTTTTTAGTTGTATTGATAACGTAAATACCTTAATTACTTTATCTCCATTTTAAACGACTGCAACAATATTATTTCAGTGATATAAGTACTACTTCACTTGAATGCATAATTTAAATTAGTTATAGCCATGTGTTTAATTCAGGATTTGTTTGAATTTATCAATTTTATATCACTATTATGATTGAATAGCGGTCATTTGCCAGTGGCGGGTGTGATATTTTTTTTATTTATTATATTTTCAAATATGTTCAATATCAAGTTAGTTTAGTATTGTTGTCATTGTATTTCAGGTTTCCTCTTAAAGATCCAACAAAAAATGGTATCTGGCTGAAGAATATGCATCTAGCTGACTGGTTTCCCACAAAAAATAGTAGGATCTGTTCAAAGCATTTTGAAACCCATGCTTTTTACAAAGTTGGAAACAGAACCTCTCTTTTGGATGATGCAGTCCCTACAATCTTCGAAGAACTTCCAAAACACCTACAGACTAAGGTAATTTAACACTTAACCCAATATATTAAGAAATTTACAAAACAAATTATTCATTTACTCAGTTCACAGAGAAATTCTACCAATAATTACTATAATCTGAAATAAAAATGAAAATACTAATTAAGTTGAGGACTAATTAATGTAATTGAGATCTATTTGATTGCAGGTAACAAAGAGACCACATCCAAGATCTAGACAGCTTATTACACCTACAGCTTCGATATCTAGGAAAAATGATCCTCCCCAAGAAGATCCAGACACCCCCAGAAAGAAGCATCTTAGAAGACAGCTTTTTGCAGAAAGGGTAAAGAGCCAAGAGAAATCGAGAGAAATAAAAGTTTTGAACCAGCGGGTGAGAAGACTGAAAAGACATATTGTTTCTCTCAAACAAGTACTGAAAGCCTCAAAACAAAATAATTTGGTGTCTTCTGAAAGCTCAGTTCTGCTTGAAAACATGCCAGAAGTTACGAAAGAATTACAAAAGCGTAAGTTGGGAAAAAAGCATCAGTATTCTCCAGAACTGCGAAAGTTTGCAATTACTTTGTGTTTTTTCTCCCCAAGAGGATATGATTATGTACGAAATGCTTTTGAATCCTGTTTACCCCATAGAAGCACTATAGGAAAATGGTTTAAGACCATTAATGCTGAACCAGGTTTCTCTAGTGAGGCAATTAATGTTTTGAAGAAAAATGTAGAATATTCGGATAAGCCTGTATGTACTATTAAGCCTCATTATAGATGAGATGTCCATTCGGAAGCACCTTGAATGGGATGGTAGAAAATTTCATGGATATGTGAATTATGGCATTGATTTAGAAGATGATTCTAACTTTATGGCCAAAGAGGTATTTGTTATGATGATTGTTAACATTAATGGAACTTGGAAGCTGCCAGTTGGCTATTTCCTTATAGATATTTCTAAATACCTTAATATTAGGATACATTTTATAACAAAACGAAAATCGGAAATAACAGATCCTGTTAGAAGCCATTTAACAAAAACCATTTTATTTAAAGGACAATAAAATGGGTTTTTTACATTTACATTAACATAGTTATTTATATAGATTCTAATTATTTTCAATAAAATATCTCAATTCATACTGAATGTTCATTAAAAAAAAATATTCAATATAAAATAACAATAAATATCTTATATATTATTTTTAAATCACAATATAACATGTGCAACCAACACACTCAAGTTATGTTATTCATTTTGAACAAATATGCTCTCAATAAAGGCATATATGATTATAATCATGTTTACCAATAAGTGAAATTTACACTGTAATAATTATAATTAAAGTACCATAATATTTTAACGCTATGTCATACTCAATAAATGTTTCTGTGTAAACTACATGTGTATTTTTAATAAAAAAAATGGGAATATACCTACTCTACGTGAGATTTGACACTTTCATAAATGAAATAATTTATTTTTTAGTTATATTGCTCAATATTTATTGGGTGTTTAGTATTTTTATGGAATACTTAGTCTGTTGTTATGCTTTCACATAAATTAACTAGAAAATGTATTATACAATAAAATATAGATCATTCGATTTGTTCTATTTCATTTTGATAATAAAATAATTATTAATGAAAAAACTTGTTGAATCTGTGGTATTAGAAATTACCGATAAAAATATACTTTGTAAATAATAATATAATAAATTTACTTTTTTCTACGAAGAAAGTATCATTTTTCTTCCGTTTTTTTTTTAGATATTTCAAATTGAAACTATAAAATAGACAAATACTAAGCGTCACTCAAGTGCAAAATTTATTTCTGTAAGATGGTACTGAACCCTGGCGATACGCCCCTGGATTGACAGCCTGGAGTCTGACTGGGCACACTTTTTTCACACACACACGAATTTTCAAGGAGACGTCTAACCACCACCACGCGGCCGGTTATAGACACTTGCTGTGGTACTTCAAGCCCAAAGGATCTACAAGAGAAAATTCGAGGTCGTATAGCCATTTTATACTACAATGTGTAGGTTGGCTCTTGTTGTGGACTTCGTGTGTCGTTTTTTCCCCTCCAACTTCGTTTCCTCAGGTTACACCCGCATCCGGATGGGTGGGCATGTGTATCTACTTTTGTAGTTTCATATGTGCATTCATTTCGGGCCTGATGAAGCCAACCAGCAGAAATACGTATCGCTCGGGTTACCTATCCTATTTTCTGCTCGAATCCACTTTCCTCCTTTTGCGGATTTTACCCATTATTTTCCTACCTGTTGTTTATATATATATATAAATATAACTTGAGACGTGGTCATTGTCGTCTAGACCAGTTAGGTGAAAAATTAAAGCTTCCGCCTTTTATTGGGTACTTAGACAATTTTTTTTTTTTTTTTTTGTCGAAGTACCCAACAAAAGGCGGAAGCTTTAATTTTTCACCTATATAAATATATATATATATATATATATATATATATATATATATATATATATATATATATATATATATGACATTATTTATGTTAGGAGCTACCTAGTATAAATATAAAATTTTGTGGGACTCAATCTTAGATAGTGTCTATGTATATCAACTTGCTGGAATTTGTAATAGGTGTAATATTTTACATAGTAATAATTATTGTAACTCATACTGTTATAAATTTATTGTTTGATAAATTGTAGATTATAACAAGTATGTCTGACAATTACTGTGAGGTATTATAAAATTATGTTTGTAGGTATCTATAATAAATTCGTACAAAAACATCTTTTTTAGTTCTTTTACCATATTCAGCATATTAAGTTTTATTGTTAAATGAATTATTTTTATTATTATCAGACACACACTAACACTATTTATACACCTGGAAATTTACAATAAAACAAATTGTTTTATGTTCATGTGCAAATTGTGGATACGAGATATAAATGATTGAAAATTTGATAAAAATACAAATTTACGTAAAATATACACAGCACCAGTTTTACTATTTCTACGTATAATGGGATTATTTATCAGAATTATCTTTAGCGTTTTGGTAAACATTGCTACGCTTAAAATTTTATATATCTCCATTGGTATTCCTCAATATTTTATTCAAAACGTCTTTTTTATAATATTATAGCAAAATGCAGAGGTAGCAAAATCTCCGATGAGCTGGCAATGCTGCAATCCAGGTGGCAAGAATGGCAAAGTAGTCATCCGTCAAGACGAAAGTTTATCCCGGGGTACCGACGGAGTCATTTAGAACGTCAAAGCGTCAATTTTCATTTTCATTTGAATTTTTTTAAGTGTTGTGCAACGATTTCGGCAAAAATTTCGCTATGGATAGTCTTCTAGAGTCTAGTTGAATACATTTCAATGGTTGTCTTGCGTGGCCGTGTTATTTTTACTCGGACCGGACTATTATGACATTTTTTTTGAGAAGTAAATTTCTTTCGTAGCAGTGCATATGTGGTTAAAATTTGTCTGATAAGTTGTGAGACACTCTGTATATAAAAGTATAGCAATGTCAGACGAATCTGTAGAGCTGGCAACCTTGCGGATATTAATGTACAATCTGGCAACCATGTCGCACCCTCAAAAAATGGCCGCTGACAACTACACAAGTCACCGTGTTGCCATTGAATAGGATGGATTTAAACCTTCTTCAGTGTACATGTTTTGTGGTTAACCTTACAAAACACACACGACTCAGTTGTTAAACCTTTATGTTTTGTGTATGAAGAATAATACATTTTTCTAGTAATAAGAAAAATGATATGCAACAAGAGTGGTATTGCGAGAAATTTGTTGCTCTTTAACAGACGTGGACTTCTGTGCAGAAACGTTAGCAATGACTTGAATATTGAAAAATTGGAATCCGAAACTGCCGTGGACGTTGGACGTGAGTATTGTCTCAACATTGTTGGAAATTAAACTCATAATTTATATCCTAGCAATGGATGAAGAGGTTAGACTGAAGGAAGAAAAAGTTCAGATGAGTCGCAACAAATCTAGGTTGTATCCAGGACATCGTAACATCGTTTTGGGAAAGAATCCTTATGATGAACCCCACTTGTGGCATCATGGGACCTTGAAATATCTTAGAAAGACCTATGGACGATACGGCAGTGCCTCAGGTACTGATTTTAGAGTGAAATTCTACAGTGTGTTAGAGCTAGTACTGCCTATGAGCAACAAATATGAAAATACAAGGAGATTAGAGAGATTGTTCTGCAATTATTAATGCTTAAATTGTAGGTGTAGATCCTGCAACATGTTGGCCTACCAAGGAAGAATTAAGTGATAAAAAAGATTATGAAAAGGTAGCACATCCTTTCACCATCCCTGAAATGGTAGCAGTTGGTAGAAAAGAACAGGCAGAGAAAGAGGAACAAATTAGATTAAGACAAGAAGGAATTGTTGCAAAGATTGCAAAATTAGAAAACTGGAAGCAGGAATTGTATGACAAGATTGCCAAGAAAGAACAAGAAGCTACACTTGCAAAGGTAAGAGAGGTAGGATTTTATGAAATGGTTTTTCAACTATAGTTTTCTTTGCAGCAAAGGAAAGACAGACTGATAGAAGAAGTGAGAAGGCACTTTGGTTATACAGTTGATCCAAGAGATGAAAAGTTCAAAGAAATGTTGGAAAAGAAAGAAAAAGAACAGAAGAAGGCTTTGAAAGAAGAGAAGAAGAAGATGAAACAGGCGAAGATGATGGAGAGATTATTGAACAAAGGTGCTACCGAACAAGCTAAAAAGGAAGACGAGAAAGGTACAAAAAGTACTGAAGAAGTCAAGAATGCAGAATGAGTCAAGAATGAAAAGTAAAACTTTTGTTATGTATGAGTTGTTAAGATAATACATATGTTTTTCCTCATAATTGCTTTCGTTACTAATACTCTAATATTATATATACAGGGTGTTCCTTAATGATATGCGAATATTTGAGGGTGTGAATCTACATGAAAAATTAATGTTGGATATTATGCTTTATAAACTATGGTCCAAAAATGTTTCCTTACAAGGAAAAAATGGAAATTAATTAATATTTTCAGAACCGCTTCAGATATTTAATAGTGTTGCATATTTTTCAATGCAAAAATAATTTTTAGCTTTAACAGTGGCGTGCGTACGGGTATTGACTTCGATATTTTTTAAGAAAAAAATGGTATACCAATGGTTTTTTGCCAAATAAAAATTATTTTTGAATTCCCCGTTCAATTTAAAACAAATGATCTCTCTTGAACTGTTTTCCTTCAATGCACAATTTTTGAGTAAAAAAATAAATATGGCCTTGCTGAAGGTAATGGCGAGCAAGCCAGACGGATTTATCACCAGAGATATCCCTATCGTGCTTTGCCAGATAGTCGAACCTTTTCTAATATTCGTCGTCGTCTTGTTGAAACTGGTTCTGTCCGAAAGGGAACATCTGAAGGTAGACCTTTAAGTGTGAGAACACCTGAAATTGAGAAAGCAGTGCTGCACGAAGTCGAAGAACATCGCGAAACGAGTACGAGGAAGATCGCTAGACACTCTAAATATTTGCCATCAAATTGTTTTAGTGAATTTTTTTATATCCTTACCATATTTTAAGAGTACAGGCTAACGCCGTTGATTTTCCATATATCTCTGCTTTCTGTTATAAATAAAGTGATGGAAGATAAATCGCGAGCTTCTGCACTACCTGGAACGTCACAGCTTGATGTGCGACAGGCAGTATGGTTTCCGGCACCAACGATCCACAGGGGACCTCCTAGCTTACGTCACGCAATTGTGGAGTAAACTCATCCAGACTTTGTCGTTGCTCATGACATCACGAAAGCGTTCGATCAGCTGTGGCACGCTGCCCTCTTAAGCAAACTTCCATCCTATGGCCTCCCAGAAAAGCTTTGCAGATGGGTGACTGACTTTATCTCTGGCCGCAAGATATCCGTCGTAATTGACGGATTCTCCTCTTCATCCCACAACGTCAACGCGGGTCCCCAGGGATCGGTCTTGGCTCCAACACTGTTTCTTTTACATATCAACGACCTCCCTTCCTGCACGATCAACCCAATCTACAGCTTAGCTGATGACAGCACTCTACATGCAGGAATTCAGAGTGACAAGCCGATCTCTGCCACTGAGCTGGAAAAAGGAAGACTAGCGAGGACTCCCTCTCTGACAACAGACCTGGAGGCTATCACTGCTTGGGGACGCAACAATCTTTTACAGTTCAATGCTTCCAAAACACAGTACTGTACTTTGACGAACCAAAAAGCGTCCTAGCGGTCATCCGGTTTCGATGGATGACCGAGTTCTGCCAAAGAGCCATCCATTTCGGCTGGTAGGAGTCCAGATCACCGAGGACCTGATCTGCAGCTGCTGGGAAAAAGCTAGGCTATTTGTTTAGGGCTAAGAAGTACTTTTCTCCGCACGATCTTCCCATTCTATACAAGGCCCAGATAAGGCCTAGCCTCGAGTATTGCTTACACGTTTGGGTTGCTGCCGCCCCGACTACATTTTCCATGCTCGATGCTGTCCAGAGTAGGGCGGTCCGACTGATCGATGACTCTTCTTTAACAGACAGTCTCGGGACTCTTTCGCACCGGCGGGCCATCAGCGATCTAGCTCTTTTCTACCGCTATACCAACGGGCTTTGCTCCGCAGAGCTCTCTTCCATGATGCCACCGCGCGATGTGCCTGAAAGACAGACCCGCCCGACTTTGGTGTCCCATCCTAACCGTGTCGAACTTCGTACATCCAAAACTGGCCGATACGACCGCTCCTTTGTCCCGAGGCTGTCGAGATTGTGAAACAATCTACATGAGGAAGCTTTGCTCAGTTCTACTAACCTTCGGTTGTATTTTCAAAATTTCTTTGGGATCATCATAGCAGCCGCGGTGTTCCGGCATTCAAATAACGTCACGTGATGGCAAGCGAGGAGGGAAGTAATTCGAGTATTTTCGGAGACTCTATGCTGCGAACCGGAGGGTAGCAGAGTATTTCAATTGCAAATATTCCAAGTTTGAAAGCCAAAAAGCCATATTTTTTTATTCCGTCGGTTTGTCTGTTGGCGATTTTATTAGCGCATAATCCCAGTAGCATCTGCGCCGATTTCAATAGAAGTTGGAGTGATGAGATGTAAACATGTGATAAGGAAATTATGGATTCTTTATGTTTGTTGGGGGTATCCGATCATGTTCAGTTTTTCTTTATGGTGGGTTCGAAAATTTTGAGACTCAAAAACGTTGTTTTTTGGCTTTTGCCTTTTAGAAGGTATCCTTGATTTTGTGGGCTGCTCGATGTTCCGATAAGTTCAGGGCATAGTCAAAGTATTTTTTGCATGAGTTACAAATTTACGAAACAAGATGGGCATCCTTCTTTCGCATGCTAGTGATGTTTTGTATAGTCTAAATCAGGGTTCCCCAAACTTTTTTGTGTCGTAGACCCCTCGCCATGTTTTTCCGTGTTGGGTAGACCCCCTACTTACCTGATATTGATTTCCTGTAAATTTCTAACTGTAGTGAAGTTTAGTGTTAAAAACTTAAAGTAAAAACACATGTTAATTTATACATTTATTAATTGAATTTAAATTGAAACTACTCAAAATAAAATTTTGTATCTGTTATGTAAAATATACGTAACATTAAATAAACAGGTATCTGACCAATAAGTGGCCGCATTGAGAATAAGTGCCCGCATTGAAAAAAAAATAACAGGGAGAAAATAAAAAAAAAGTGAAAAATAATAAAAAAAAAAGTTTTTTTACTTAAAATAGTACAATAAGCGAGTTCGTTTATTAATTATAACATAAACATATGTTCTACAATAATTTCACTGTTAGTTTGATTAAATTCCGCTTCTTATACGTTTAAGTTATCTAAAAATAGGCAAAAAATTAACGAATTTTAGTGTGTACCTATTCTTGAATTTTCAGAATAATTAAAAAAAAATATTTTCTACTAAGGGGGGTTCTTTAAAAAAATCAATGCGGGCACTTATTCCCAATGCAGGCATTTATTGGTCAGACACCAATAAACATAAAATAACTATAAATAAAATAACATAAGCAATAAGTCAATATTTTTAGTGAGAAGGATGAACCTGATGCTTTAATAATAAATTATCAACATTTGGCGTCAATTTTGTAAGGGTTAATCTTAAATCTCCTCGGCTAATGATGTCCTTGTTCTTTTTTTCGTTAGGAGATTGGTAACAGCGCTGAACCCCCTTTCCACTAGGTATGACGATGGAAAGGAAATTAAAAATTTCCTCGCTATATTCCATAATACGGGATACGTAACAGGTATGTTGTTTTGCAGCCAGAATTGCTGATATCCGTTTTTAAACTGAACCTTAAGTTCTTCGTTTGTACTTAGTTCAGTCGGTTCCTCTTGTATTATGACATTCGTTTCTTCTATGTCACCATATGGATTAATTATCCACGGTGGTATTACCATAGTCAAAATATTCTCAAACCTAGATTCAAAATCTGAATAGAGGGCATTTAAATGTTGAACGTAAGTTTAAACGTCGTCTTCCTGACAGCTTGTCTGTGACAAATTGGGGAACTGAGAAAATTCGCCCCGTCCAATATTTTGCTTCATTAGTTTAACCCTGGCAAGAAACGCTGATAAGATGGACTTTGTTTTAATCAAATTTAAACTGTCGCCTTGTAATTGGAAATTAACCATATTAAATTTTGTAAACAAATCTGTTAAATAGGCGATGTCTGTTTTCCTCTTCATTAAATTTTCTTTAAAAATTTTATCTTTAGTATCCAGAAATTCTAAAAAAGTGCAAAAAATCTTGTCAAACATAAGCCTTTCGACAGCCAGCGTACTTCAGTGTGAAGGAGTAATTGATGAAAGTGTTCGTCATTTCGTCAGATTCGGTTTACTGCATCAATGACTAAATGAAGTGATTCATGCAATCTAACACTCAAATTTTTAGCAACTAAATGTTGTCGCTGGATGACGCAATGTATTGCTAACACCCCTGACACATTTTTAAATAGCTTATAAATCCACGATAACGTCCAACCATGGCAGATGCTCCATCTGTAGCTACTGATATTATATTTGATAAAGGAATTGCTTTTTCAATGAAGTAATCCTTCAAAACATGAAATATTGATTCACCTTTAGTGTCGGTTATCAAAGTTCTTGCGAAGAGCAGTTCTTCGTAGATTTCTTGATTCATAATAAAACGAACATATGCCAATAATAATGCTGCATTATCAGGTAAAGTTGACTCGTCCAGTTGTATAGAGAAATGGGTCGTTTGCAAATAATTACATAAGAAGCTTTCAATATCAGAACTCATTTCATCAATACGTCTTTCAACAGTATTGATGCTTAAGGGAATTCTTTTAATGACATCAGATGCAGGTTTGTGTAAAACAGTCTTTAAAACCTCTTCAACGGCTGGCAAAATTAACTTCTCTCCGATAGTATGCGGTTTTCCGGATTTTGCTATAAGTAACGAGATATTGTAAGACGCCCGCAAACCATCATCATTTCTTTGTGACGTCGAAGCGAACATTCTGTCTAGTGTAGGTCTCTTCTGAAATTTATCTTTGAGTGTTTGAAAGAATTTCAAATCTTTCTCTGTTTTATCAGGGTGGCATCTTGTCAGATGATCTTGCAGTTTAGATGGTCTCATAGCGTCATTGCCCAAAACTTTGTTGCATAAAAGGCACATAGGCTATTGTTTGTCCGGCAATGATGGAATGAAGCCAAATTTCAAATAATCAACACTGTACTGTCTACATTTCTTTTTAGATTCGGACATGACATCAGTCATCTGTGGGCAAAATTAAATTATTTAAATAAGACAGAAAATCCAGCAGCTGTATATTAAAAATATTTTTTGATTTTTCCGAAAACATTCCGTAACTCGATCTTCTTGCAACAATTAGCTCGAATTACGGAGATTGCACTGTAATTATATTACCGATTTGCTAAAACTTTTAAAAAGAAACTATTGAGGAGTACTAGTGTAATTTTGCATGATTCAATATTTAACTACTAATCACTAAAGTCATAATTGGCGTAATTTATCTATCTTTGCTAACTACGAGTACAAAACTAAAATTTAATAAAAAATAATGTACTTACTTTTCTCCAGCACTCTCAAACAAAATAACACTGACTCACTATAATTCGTGTGATATACTATCTGTTTATATTTTTTAAAATATTTTCTTAGCACTTTCCTTTTCAAGATTCAGGAAACGAATAAACGTATTTGTCCCACATTCCTATTTATAGAGTAACGAATTGAAGAATGTTTTGATATTATAAGATAGTATGATGTAAGTAAATAGGTACTATCAGTGTATGTGTTGAGATCCACTATCGTGGACCCCCATATTCATTTCATGGACCCTCCAATTTTTTTTCGCTGACGTAGACCCCTTGCAGGTTGTCATAGACCCCTAGGGGTCGATATAGACCACTTTGGGAATCAATGGTCTAAATTGAGTAATTAGTGTACTTAATGTTGCTGAATGGAGATCCTTGGAAGGTAATAGAATAATACAAGCCCGAGTTAGGAGACTTCAAGAGAAATAACTGAAACATGGCACTACTGCACGGAGGACTTATCCACTGGTGTTTAGATAATTTGAGTATTTTGGAGGACCTAATGCCGCTTTGTTATCTGGAGGGTATTCTGGTAGAGGACACATCACACGGTTTTTGAAAGGGATACCTATATAGCGGACTTTGTATGGAAATCCGAAATGTTAATGTACAGTTTTTTTAACTGATCTTGGATCAATGTGTCTTGGTGTCGGATATCCACGAATTAAATTTGATATATATTCAGTATTTCTGGTAGGTGACTTATTGCTGGTTTATGAAAGGAGGACCTATCTTCGTGGAGATGTAAATATATAAAGAGAAAATTATCATGCGGAGAAAGGAGAAAGGTATGTAACAAAAATAGGAAAATAATGGACAAAATCCGCAAAAAGTGGATTCTAGCAGAAAATAGGATAGGTAACCCGAGCGATACGTATTTCTTCTGGTTGGCTTCATCAGGCCCGAAATGAATGCACATATGCAACTACAAAAGTAGAGACACATGCCCATACATCCGGATACGGGTATAACCTGAGGAAACAAAGATGGAGAGGAAAAAAAAGACACATGAAGTCCACAACAAGAGCCAACCTACACATTGTAGTATAAAATGGCTAGAAGACCTCGAATTTTCAAGGCGACAAATAATCACAACCACGCGGCCGGTTATAGCCACTTGCTGTGAAACTATCAACTATTGAAAATTCTCCGAGATTCCTCTTTTTTCACATATCAACGTTCCGCCGAAATTTAAAATAGGGGACCTTGAAAAATCTCATTGTTAGTATGTGATTTTGCCTAATAGTAAGGCGTTTTTGTAAATTAAATTACATTAGGCTTTTTAATATTGTTTCCAACTCGACGATAAGAAAATTTCGAAAGCTTGAGAGTTAATAAAGAGTAATTTTGCAATACTTGACCAACGCAATGATATATATTATATTATATATATATAATTTATAAGTGAAAAATAAAATCCGTTTTTGTTGGCTATCACAAAATTTAAGGAAGAGAGACTCTTTATATTTTTTTATTCTCTCTAGCTTCCTTTGCCATCATCATCAGGAGAGTAGTATGTGCGGATATTGCATCGTATAGGATGAGAAAGTCTCACCATGTTACTGGACGTTTCCCTCATCCTATACGAAAACAACAATTAGCAAAGCTAGAGAGAATTAAAAAAAGTATAAAGAGTCCTCTTTGCTTAAATTTTGTCGAAGTACCCAACAAAAAGCGGAAGCTTTAATTTTTCACCTAACTGGTCTAGACGACAATGACCACGTCTCAAGTTATATATATATATATATATATATATATATGTATGTATATATATAGCAAGTAGCTATAACCGTTAGGTTGTGGTTAGATGTGTCCTTGAAAATTCGAGATCTTCTAGCCATTTTATACTACAATGTGTATAGGTTGGCTCTTGTTGTGGACTTCGTGTGTCGATTTTTTCCCTCTCCATCTTCGTTTCCTCAGGTTACACCGGTATCAGTATGTGTAGGCATGTGTATCTACTTTTTTAGTTGCAAAGATGCATTCATTTCGAGCATGATGAAGCCAACCAGAAAAAATACGTATATATATATATATATATATATATGTGGGACGAGGGTTTAGGGTTACAGACGAACACTGTATGCCGATTAACAACTATATTAACAGAATAACAAACAATATCTCGTGTTTGTGAGATACGTAGTTTCCTCGCGTCGTTGTCGTCGTCGTCTTGGCGTCTTTCTTCACTCAGCGACTTGATCAGACTTGATGTACGTTACCGACTGGGCCTTCTTCGATGTTCTGGAACATGCGGCGCTGCCGGTACAGGCGGTGCAGCGCGCAGGCGCGGCTCTTCTACGCGGGGAGCAGCATCGTGCGGTTGGGGTCGACTCACGAGTTCCCACAACTCGGCCATCCTGCTGTTCACACGTTTCGGGTGAATTGGCTGGGTACTCATCATTGTCATGGATGGGGTAGTCATCTACATCTTCACTCCACGGCTTCATGAATTGTGCGCAGGTCGCGGTACGCATTGGTCCGTCGTAAAAACCAACTTTCTCGACATCGTGTGTATCTTTCTTCCTGACGTTGGTAACCTGATATCCTAGATACTTTGGTTTTAACTTCGCTCCTGGTCCCAACTGCGTCCTTTTTATGGCTACTAAATCATGGAATTTGTATTTTCGACTAGAGCCGTCGTTGACTTCGTAGGATACAACCATACAAATTTGGTAAAGGCGTCGGTAACCAGCAAAATATCTTTGTAATTCTTATTAGTAGATTCAAGGGCTCCGAGATGATCAATGTGGTATGTCTACAACGGTGTGTTCTTTGAGATAGGATGCAGAAAACCTTCTTGTCTACCTCGCTTTTGATTGGCAAGAATACACGGTATACAGGCAAGAGTAACTTTCTCAATTTTCTCTCTTAGCCTGGGTATGTAATAATCTTTCTTTATCAATTCTTCAGTATTCTTTATTCCGAAGTGACCTTGTTCATGTGCGTTCCGAATGACTTCGTTTTGCATAGCTTCAGGAATGACTAGGAGCTCATAATCTTTCACATTCCTGTATATCATTCCATTCTTCACTAGGTAGTCTTCATAAGCGCCATCTTCTAGTATCTTCATGATTGCTTTGAGTGCAATGTCGTCATTCTGTGCCTTTCTTATTCTAAGAAGAAAAATATCTTCTATCTTCATTACCGGTTAGCGGCTGAGTGCGTCAACGTGTCTCATGCGAGTTCCAGATCGATGTTCTATCGTATAGCCAAATTCTTCTAAGAGTAAAGCCCATCATGCTGAGCAGTCTGTCACTATCGTGAAATGTTGACCAAGGAGATATACTCGCAGTTTCCGTAAAGCTTCTATAATCGCAAGTGCCTCCAGCTCATAGCTGCTGTATTTCTTCTCCGCATCAGTCATTTTCTTACTAATATCGGATGGAACTTATTATCTTCAGCTGATTTTTGTAGAAGTATTCCACCATAACCTTCTATAGATGCATCCGTATGTAGCTCTAACTCTGCTCCTTGACAAAATATGTGTAAAACAGGTTTAGTAGACAATTTTCTTTTCAGTTCATTGAAAGAGTCTCGCTCCTTTTATTCAAAAGTGAAGTCTTTTCCTTTCTACGTTAGATCACTCAGTGGATTAGCGATCACCGAATAAAATGGAACAAACTTCCTGAAGTATCCCGTCAATCCTAGGAAACTTTGTATCTACTTTAGATTTTTTGGTTCTGGGTATCTGATGATAGACTTATTTTTCTCAGTAGTTGGGTATAATTTTCCATCTTCTATTCTGTGGCCTAAAAACTCAACAGTTCTCTTTACAAACTGACATTTCTTCTTGTTTATCTCTAGTCCGTACTCCTTAGCTGTGTTCAGCACTATCTCCAGTTTCTTGATAGCATCCTCTCCATCTGCTGCTGGAATAATTAGATCATCTATGTATTGGAGAGCTATTCCTTTATTGATGAGTTCTCTGAAAACTGTGTTGATAAATCTTTGGAAAACATCTGGGGCATTGCATAATCCGAACGGAGCCTTAAGGAATCTATATTGTCCTATGTGAGTAACGAACGCTGTGTACTTCCTACTGTTTTGGTCTACTGGGACGTGGAAGAATCCATTTCTCAGGTCCAAAGACGTGAAAACTTTTGCATTTTGCAATCGGGCCAACTGGTCTTCGATTAACGGCAATGGGTAGCGGTCTTTGATCAATTTCCTATTTAGTCTTCGATAATCTATCAGAACTGCATGGCTCTACTATCTCGTCTTCTATCCACTTTTCCACTTGCTCATCAACTATCTGCCGTTCTTTGAATCGTAGTCTTCTCGGGCTGCTATATACTGGTTCATCATCCTTCAGTATTAGCGTCAATTCTACTTTTTATTCTGGGGTCTATTCTCCATCACCATCGTCTTGATCTTATCTCTCATGTCCAAGTGTATATTATGTCCTATGTCTAGTTCTGTTTTGTCATCGTCATCTATGCATATCTTCAGAATTTTTGTTTCAAAGTCTTCAGTTTCTCTTTCATCGTCTTCTTTATCCGCAAGCTTCATGATCCTTAGTCCTTCTTTCTTTGTTATCATCATGTCTGCTTGGCTCAACAGCTTGTTCCCAATGATGACGTCATGTCCATCCATGGCTTCGTTGGGTGTTACTAATATGGTATCAAAGAATTTCTCATTGTCAATAGTGATTTCACATTGGATCTTGCCTAAAGTTTTCACCGAAGATCCTCCGAATCCGGCTAATGAAATTCTAAAAGGTTCCATAGAGACACCATCCATCTTCTTGTAGGCTTCTTCACTCATTAAATGAACATCACTGCCTATGTCAATGAGAGCGTTGAATTTCAGCCTGTTTACCATTATTTCTTTGTATGTTCTATTAGAACCGGAACATGGGTTAAACCCATCAATGGAGTTCACTCTGAATAAACATCTTTGCAAGACCGGTTAGTCTTCTCCTAGCAAATATAAAACATTGCAAGTCATTCCAGATAAGCATTCCTGCCATATCTTCGATATCTGCTATCCATTTTTCTATCGGGTAGGCACTTGAACCATCAAATATGTGAACAGTGTCCTCAAAGTCACGGAAATTCATTGAAAATTGGGCTTGGGGAAAGCCGTAATGACTTGATCTAGATGCAACTGAAATTTGATCATCATCTCTACTTCTTTCTGGATGTGCGACTTCATGCCGTCTTCGTCTTATCATATCATCTTCATCTTCTTCATTGTTTCCAGTACTACTTCGTTTCGTCTAGCTTTTTCTCTCCTCTTCATCATCATTGCCTTCGTCTGTCATCTCTTCTTCCTCTTTTTCTTCGTCTATATTTTGCAGAGAATACAGGTCCATTAGGCCTGATAGTATTTTCTCTATCAACTCTTCTTTGTCACCCTCGTAGTCTATGTGCAGAATGTTTGCAAACCTTGTGAGGTCTTTTACTGAAAAATTATCTTTCGCATACCTAAACATCTGTTTATTATATTAGTATTGGAATATCAACATGTGTAGTTTTTTAATTACTGAGAACGCAACAACTTTGATGTTCTCGGCGATTTTGGGAATTTGACCTAGAGTAAGCATTGTAACTAATTACTGATAACTTACAAGTTTAAAAGTCAAAAGCAACAACGCCAAAAGGTAAGCACAATCTTTTATGGCAAATAACTTTCAGTAACAAGTCCTAATTTAGTGTCCACTTATACAACATTCACTATAAGTTCGTGTAATTCACTGACACTTAAGCTCAAAGTCTTTTATAGAATGTCTCTGGTCATCAGTATTTAGATATTGCTAGCATAATCAAGAAATATGGTACTTACCTCGTTATCAACGTCTTATTTTGATTTGGTTACGGTCTGAGACTGCAATTGTCTTGTCTTCTAGTTGACCGTCGGCGTCGTATTTTCTAATTGCCCCTGGTATATCCCAGCCAGCAAGGACATGTATATTTCACGAGAAACGAACGTTTTACGAAGTATTCGACGTGGAAAGTTCGTTGAATTTGTGGGCGAAATGTCAGATAGAATCGACTTCATTTTCTGACAGAGATTCCATGTGATTTATACACGTGGTTTTCACGCCCCTTTTCGCCGTGGAAAGGCCGTTAATTTGTGGGCGACACGTGTCAGATAGAATCGACGTTACCTTCTGACGACGATTTCACGTGATCTACACACGTCGTTTTCATGCCTCCTTTCGACGTGGAAAGTCCGTTAATTTATGGGCGAAGTGTGAGATAGAATCGACGTCACTGTCTGACGACGATTTCACGTGATGATTAACTGGATGAAGGTGGTAAATAACATTTGGATCAAAAATGAGTTCAATAAATTTGGCGAAGCCTAGAGGTAGTACTCTGTCCGAAAAACAGGTTGGGGGGGGGGGGGGGGGGGTTAGGAGTTAAGCACGAATTAGTATAAGGAAAGGAGTCAACATAGGCTTATGATTTTATATATCAATGTAATAGAAATGTCTAGGACGTGATCAGGATCGAGAGCAGAATCCCAGTGAATAGAGATCATAGCGAGTGAACTCAATCTTTCATGGCCCATAACACTTCGCGGTAGAGTTTTAATTCTTTTCATAGTGGAAAATGATCAGTTAGAAGTATTCTGATAGGTACCGTGAAAATAATTTCCATTGCAATACTCCAATAGTTTTAAAACCCCGGTTGATTGATCAATGGACGATATCTTCGCACACCACAACCCATATTCTGCCTTCACTGCCGTTGATGATATCTTATCGTCGAAGTATGGGGCTAAGTTGTCTAACTCATCGGCTTTACTCACATTAGCAAATCCTGTGAGGAGAAGTTGGATTAATAATAAAAGAATAATGAAGGTGAACAAAAAATAAATAACGTCCAATATTGTAGCCATAAAAGAATATACCATAGGTTCGAAAGACGTCTTTTTATAGTGGTAAATGAATATCCCTACTTCCCTACTAATATTATAAATGTGAAAGTGTGTATGTTTGTTTGTATGTTCCGCTTTCACGCCAAAACGGCTGAACCGATTTTGCTAAATTTTAGCACAGATATAGACTAGACCTCAAGAACGGACATAGGCTAAAAATTTTGAATTATTTGTTTCATATATTTACATAATATGACTGAGACCACTTGAATTTTCTCAGTTTGTCTTTTATGTTTAAATCTGAAAAAAATTTCTTACGGAATTTCGGGGGGGGGGCTTAAGCCCCCTGAGCCCCCCCTGGCTACGTGCCTGCTTACCACCTTCATCCACTCAACCCTTCAAATGTTATTGTACTAAAGAAGACCACTGTGGTGGAAGAAATGTTTACAATATACAGTATTTAAACATATATGTGGTTTGAATTGTAAGGGCGGCGGAAAAAATGAAGGATTAATACTATAGTAATTTTATTTGAAGTAACTACTTGAATAATCATAACAACTTCTTAAAAAAAATGAGTATTGTAATTTTTTGTTCAAAGTTGTAAGCATTTTAGTTCTACATATGTCTTGTTAACAACGTTTCACTT